TTTGTGGTGATAGCCAAGTGGGCAACCAAGTGGTGGGGTGTATAGTCTGGTTGTATATTGTCTATCTCAATAATACACAATACACTATCAGATATTGATATCTCTATGTATTCAGATATAACCTTCCAGATATTATTGTGAGGGAGAGAGAAGGAGGGAGAGGGAGGAAGAGTGAGAGGAAAATACAGGGAAGAGAGAAAGAGAAGAGAGAGAGAGAGAGAGGAGAGAGAGAGAGAGAGAGAGAGAGAGAGAGAGAGAGAGAGAGAGAGAGAGAGAGAGAGAGAGAGAGAGAGAGAGAGAGAGAGAGAAATAGACAGACAGTCAAACATTCAAGCAGAGACTCGTGCACCACCGGGTAGGCCATCAAGTAATTCTATCAATATATAAGTAGTGGATCACATCCCTAGACACATCCCTAGACACATCATCTCCCTGGCCTCCGTCGCGTGCCGGGAGCCGACCTGCTCTGCTGCAGATCTTTGTCGTTCAAACTTCACTTGCGTTCTGCCCGAGGCCAGAACATGGCTTCGCGTCCAAAACTCCTCAACTGGAAAGGCAGTCGAAGGTTCGGTTAATCCAGAGACTTGGGAAAGTTCCTGATGTAGCCAGGTTCTTGATTCCCTCGGGGCTGTGTTAAAGTCGGTGGCTGACTCGGCGTCCTGGGCTAGGAATTGGTCCACTGCTGTGCAGTTTGCTAAAGAACAATTACGCGAGCAAATTAGAATTTAGATGACATTTTCAAATGTGTGTATTCATCTAGTTTTGCTTGCGGGAGTTGAGCTTCGGCTCTTTGGTCCTACCCTCCCCCAACCAAAAAAAGTGTGTGTGTGCGTGTAGTCACCGTCTTCTGAACGGTCGAACGTTAGCTCTTGGACACCACCGTTCCAGCCGTCTCTTCCTTAATATTGCCTACGTGTATGTGGTTGGTTCCCATTCCCTCCTCGCCTAGATTATTCCATTTTCCGACTGTTTTAAAGGAGTATTTTCTCAGATTCTTTTGACTCATCTGTTTCTATCTTCCGTTCGGATCTTCTCGTTCTTTTGAGATTCGTTGCAAAAAATTCCATCTTTTACAGTTATTTGTTGCCTTCGTTTGATGGCCAGTATTTGAAGTTTTATTTTTCCTGTGTAACAGCCGCTTGCAACAGTCACCTCTAAAGATATAATTACTTTGAGAGTTTAGATTAAATGTTTATCGTTCTCATTCATGTTTCCTATAAAAAGGAAGGATGTAGCTATCATTATTAGAATTAATAATAAGAATAATAATACGCGGAGAAATCACATTAATGTGACGTATCAATGATTTTATCATTGATGCAACTGGTTAATGTGATGTGATTAACGTTAATGTGATTTCTCAGTGCATTTGAAGGGAGCGTCAGGGGGAAGAACGTGTCACACCACACCCGAGTGCACGAGAGAGATGTGTAAACACTTGAGTTAGTGTCACTCGATGCCTCAACACCCCCTTGTCGATTCACTTGAATTCCGGGTTTCAATACTAATAGTGTATCGTGGTTCAGTGGTTTAATGCAAGTGCTTGAGAGTATCTGTGATGTAGGCTCGACTCCTCGATATAACTATCGCCCTAATGTTTACATATATATATTCCTAATTCACTAATACTCAAGAATTACGGGCTCACCATAGCCCGTGCTACCTGGAACTTTTTTGTTCCAGGTAGCGAATCTTAATCAACATAACAACTAATACTCACATATAAACATTGTTTTTGTATTCCTAAGTAAATAATATATAATTATATTAAATGTACTTGAAAATCAATGTTGCAATTAAAACTGAGATTGATACAACTGACATTATAATTAAATAAAAACATCATAAAAATGTATTAAAAGTGTATATATACATAAACTCGTATGCACAATGAAATCACATTAACGTGATGTATCAGAGATAAAATCAGTAGGAGCCATGCAGAGGATTCGAACCCGTACACTTGGTACCCCCAGGCCCACACCCTACCCCACTACACCACGACATGGTAAAAGCATTGCAACCTGGGATTCAAATTATTAAGGGTTCTAAAACTTCAATTGAAGCCCGATCAGGGTTTCAGTCATTGCTCCTCATGCGCGCTTCCTGTGGTCCAAGAGATCTGCCTCCAACGCTTCTCTTCAATTGCATAATGAAGTCACATTAATATGATGTGCTGAAGATATCAGTAGGAGTTAGTTCTCATTGTCACGTCAGCAAGAGAGTTCTTGAGTCGTACCCATACATGGGTGAAGGAATGGATGAAGGAGGGAAGGAATGGATGAAAGAAGAAAGGAAGGGATGAAGGAAGGAAGGCAGGGATGAAGGAAGGAAGAAAGAAAGGAAGGAAGGTTCGATATTCACGTCAGTCCGGAATGCTGTAGCGCGACACAGAGTCTGGGGAATTAACAGAGATCAAACGCCAGATTGTTCGGTGGTGAGATGGATAATTCTCGGAAAAATATAGACGTGAAACAGTACGAAGCTATGTCGAGCACTTCTCTCACCCGCTGAGCCTTGTGACACAGACCGTGCTGGGCTGCCAGGGGGGAGCAGAGAGACAGATCTGAAGATGACGAAGGAACTAAGTAAGAAATGTAGAACGAGGATGATAAAGAAAGGAGATGAGAGAGGAAGGAGGATAGCAACTTAGCAACCACACATCAATGGTCATCTAACGCGGGACAATTATCTAAGGTTGTGACATCGCAGGGTCGTTAGAAGTCACTGTGTGATGTGCGTTGAAGTGTTTTTAGTAACACTGACAGCCAACACGACCACTCTGTCAGCCAGGACGACCTAGACGACGCTACCAGCCAACACTACGACCATAGCGATCATTTCTTACGACCCCACCCCAGACAGGGATTGGTACCCCAGCCGTCGTAAAGGAATTAGAAAAGGAAAACGTGGATTTACAAGGACAAACTAATGCAAAAGTGAAAGTGTCTTCATGTTGATGGTGCTTCTCTCAGATACCCAGCGACGTCTTGTGTCACAGCAGTTGGCTAGGCCTCTGCAGCACCACTGAACGAAAATATTTCGACTGAGGTTCCCGAAGTAAAGTTCAGTAACGCGTCTAAACGTTACTGAGCCGGATATGTGGCTTTATAAGATCCCGTAACTTAACAGCCAACAAATCAAATCAAATCAAATGTTTATTTAGGTGAAGTACATACATACAAGAGATTTTACAAAGAGTGATGGCTTTATAGATAGGACTAGTACATACAATGCCTAAAGCCACTATTAACAACGTCTGGTTATAACCATGGGATCCGAATTCAGTCCCTCCAGTGGGAGAGAAACGGTTGAGCTTGTTATCCTTCATCTTATGCCTCTGTTCACCTAGAAGTAAAATAAGTCACCCATGAGTTAGATTACTTTTGTGGGTTTCATCCGGGGAAGTTCAGTAGTTGGAATGTTCCAACATTCCAACATTCCAACATAGTTCAGTAGTACGTGGGACCCCCTAGATAAAAAAAATGTATAGGCCTCCTGTCCCCTTGAACGGGGAACAAACATTATTGCTACGATTTCCAAAGCTCTGGAGATTATTTGAGTGTATCCATGCACTCATATGGAGTTGTTCTCCAGGTGAGTCAAGGGTGAGTGTATGCCTGAAGCGGTGGGTGAGTGTGTTTACTTATGGCTGGTGATGCTCTTGGCCCCAAGCCCGCTTGAAAGAGGCGAGGGGACCTGCTCGGCCTAATTTATATTACACGTCATGGCTCTATTATTTATTCTAAACTTAATGCCGCAAATTTCTTGCCAGAAATTATTAATGATACATTCAGAATTAAACTATATATATATATATATATATATATATATATATATATATATATATATATATATATATATATATATATACATATATATATATATATATATATATATATATATATATATATATATATATATATATATATATATATATATATATATATATATATATATATATATAAATGGGTACCACCTCTGGTGCAATTGTAGGGACCCATAGCCTCGAAGAAGGGAACACAGAGCATTCAGAGAAAAACTTGCCATTTAACTCTGAATACGTATGAGTGTTCATTTCTCCTACCCTTTTATTTTGTACCTTTTATTATCCAAGGTTATACAGCTACATATCTGATGGTTTACAAAAAGAGAACATTAAGATATATATATAATATCTCACTGAAAGCTCATCACCCCTGAAAGATTCGAACCCAGACAGCCAGGGGCTCCCTGCACCTTAGGGTATCCAGTACTACACCTATAAACCACACTGACTGTACAAAAAAGGGTTGGAAGTTGTCAGACTTTTAACTCATCCTCCGACAGCATTCGGTGGTAAATTTTAGGGTACAGTTTTAGGATGTGGTCTTGTTTTTAGGGGGAGATAAATTAATAGCAGAGTATACAGTGAGACTAATATATATATATCTGACGCCCAGGATTAATGTGGTGTTTTATAAAGTTTTTGGCAAGAGCCTTCGTGTTTGCCCTTGTGTGTGTGTGTGTGTGTGTGTGTGTGTGTGTGTGTGTGTGTGTGTGTGTGTGTGTGTGTGTGTGTGTGTGTGTGTGTGTGTGTGTTTGGCCTTGTGTGTGTGTGTGTGTGTGTGTGTGTGTGTGTGTGTGTGTGTGTGTGTGTGTGTGTGTGTGTGTGTGTGTGTGTGTGTGTGTGTGTGTGTGTGTGTCTTGCTGAAGACATTAAACAAATAATACTGTGAAAATCTTTCAACAGGCCACAGCAGTCACTGAAGTATCCCAGTGGATGATATTGATCAGATTATTTAAGTGTGTTTTGTGAGGCTGCAACTCATGACCCGCTAATGGGTGTTGCAAGAGCCACCTGCAACGTCTGCAACACATCATCACTGACTCACCTGCCGGTCTTAGCCGACTGCATGTTGATGGCTGGCGCTGAAAAAGCCTTTTGTTTGTTACTAAGGGGCGGAAATAGCTCCTGGTTAGGGTGGTTGTCGGGGTGGCAAAGCTTTGGCCGATTACGACAATTGTTCAAGAGTGCGGCAAAGACAGGAGGCGTGGACAGAGTGCAAGCGTGCACTCGTGCACCACCACTTTGGGCAGGCGGGTGTGGTGGGCAAGAGTTTATGTTTACGAAGCCAATACCCACTCGCTGGCTTCCTCACTCTCTACATCAACATTTAAACTAACGTGTTTACAACCACGCTGGCGCCTCACGCTTAAAAGCAACCATGACTAGGAGCTGTAATCAGTCCTTTATTAACAGTCCGCCACACCCTAAATACACTTTTGTTTCTCTCAAATTGTTCTGTTTCGCCGACTCTATCGCCCGCATAACCCCGCGGGAATTGAAGTGGACGGTAGGAGCGCCTGGTAAACAATGGCTACGAGGGAGCTCCTACAGGTGTGTGCTGCTGCTGGTGGCGGGACTGAAGCGGTTGGGGAAGTTGGCAAGATTCCTATGTGTGACCATGACGTGGAGGGCAGGACAGTACGCACTTCACCTGCTCTCCAACACGCTGTTCTGATCACTTACTGATGCTGGCGTATTTGGCCAGCATCACACACACACACACACACACACACACACACACACACACACACACACACACACACACACACACACACACACACACACACACACACACAACTAGGAGAGAATATACCAATAAAAGTAATCGACGTGTCTCCTTTGACGGAGGCCCTGTTATTTTTTTACAGTTATTTCAAATTCCATCTGACAGTGGTATGTTGCTTTCCATAACGTTACTATTAAAAATTATATATATATATAACATATAATATAACATATATAAGCTAAAATCTGAATGTTGCTGCCCAGCAACCTCCGAGAACCGGCTTGAAGCTTACCCGACCTGACTATGACTAATATATATATATATATATATATATATATATATATATATATATATATATATATATATATATATATATATATATATATATATATATATATATATATATATATATATATATATATATATATATATATATTATTCATATATATATATATATATATTATTCATATATATATATATATATATATATATATATATATATATATATATATATATATATTTGTGTGTATATATTTAATGATGAATTACAAAATTAATGTTGAGAAAGCGTTGTAATTTTCTCATTGACTCTGACTTAAGATAACCTTATCTAATTAAATGAGTTTATATCTGATTGTATGAGTTTACGTTTGATATATGAGTTCATGTCTGTTTATATAAGTTTTTGTCTAATTATATGACTTTTTATCTGAATATGTGAATATATGTCTGATTATATGAGTTTACGTACTAGGACATTAGTATATATCTGACCATTAACCCTTAAACTGCTCTATTTGTTCATAGGTGAGCTCTCCATATATGATTTGTTAACTATTTCTAGTCGTGCGCACCTTGATGGTGTTCTCTCGTATAGTTGTGCAGTTAAGAGATTAAAAACGCATATTCGCTTCGATGAAATAATTCCTAAAAGTTGACTAACAGTTTATGTTCACTCATATAAGCTCGTTGATGACTGATGGCTTTGTTACTGCTATATATCATATGCTTTACATTGATTGTTTGAAGTACACATATTTATAGCAGTAAATGCTGGAAGAGATTGTTGACGATTCACTAAATATTATATGTAAATGTTTTTGGCCTGTTTAATGCTTTTTGTGAACGGGATAAAGTGTGTTACTGACAATGCTAAATTAACACAGGTTTTATTTTAAATTGAGATGCTACGCAACAATGTTTTTCCACGATTAAATCGCGTGTTTTATATTGCGAAGTCAAATTCACAATTTAAATTTCGAAAATAAAACCTGCTATTTAAATCCAGATAATTGAACTCATGCTCTCAGTTGCGCAAGTATTTACATGTGTTAAACTTCTTGCAATCAGATGTATTCATGTCTTCAAAAACTGGCACATTAATTGTAAGTGATTCTAAATCACTCTTTATTGCACCCGGCTCATTAGAATTCTATTTAAAACCTGCTTGTGAATCGTTAATGTTGTGGTTTATCCTCCAAGAGACTAGCGAATCGTGTCAGATACAAGTCATAAACCTCTCACCTATTTATCTGAAATGTACAAATATTTGACGAACTTATTCAAAACATTAAGGCCATATTGGTGAAACTGCTCAAACTGTGGCTAGTCGGGAAGTTCTTGCCACGGCTTTTTTGTAAGTAAAAGAGTGCTGATAGCGAGGAAAAGCGGACCTAAAGCCCATTGCCACTACCGAGTCACATCGATGTCATCAAGGAGAGTGAGGTTGTGTTACAAGATACTGAGCTGCAGACTCTCTGGGGCCGTCAGGATCGACCGGAGGCAGAAATTTTAAGTCCCACTGGATGTATGCGTTGAATACCTAGTGGCCCTGGGATGCCTCTCTGGCTAAGGACCGTGCAGTTTTACACGTACGCGGCGCACATTGAAGAGGCGTTCGATAGCGTCTCCTATCCAAATATAAAAAGGGACATGAAAGGAAGAGGCATCACAGAGCCTCTCAGGTCATGTCTGGGTACAAGCGAACCTCTTCCATCATTGCCAGCCACAGAAGGAAATCCAAAGAAATCGCGTTCATTAAGGGAGTACGGAAGAGGGAAGCCTCAATCTCTCCGTTCGTTTTCAACTTAGTAATTGATCAGGGACTTACTGCAGCAATGTAGCATGCGGCTGCGGATCCTCCAGTTCGTAGAGGAAAATATATCAGTATTGGCCATTGTTGATGATTTGGTCGTTGCGGCAGAATCATACGACGGACTGCAAGAACTGAGTGACAGTAGTTAAGACACTTTGGCAGATTTCTGCCTTTGAGTGAACGCAGCAAAGTGCCTGAAAGTGAGCGTACAAGTGGCTATGACCGGGTAAAAAATGGATTGTCAACAAAAGCAGGAGATATAATGTCGCAATCGAGGCCGCTTGATACTATGAGCGTGGTGGACAAGTACAAGTACCAAGGTATGCTAGCTGCAGCCCGAGCTAGAGGTTTCTCGTGCGACTCTCTGATTACTGATTACCAAACAAGCGCTGCTTGGAGCCGTGGTGCAGTCGCTGGACCCGGCATTCCTGGTCAGGGCGGCGGTCAGCCTGCCCGCATTTCAGGTCTGACTGCGTCGGTGGACCGGCCTGGCTATGGCTACCTTGACCTATCCTAAACTGGAGAGGTGGATTTTGCAATAAGAGCCGCCGTCTACTGCAGTGTATAGATCTAAAAAAAAAGGGGGGGGGAAAGCTCGTGATCTCCTCCGGGAAGATCCTATAACCTGGACCAACTCCAACACCAGAGAGGGGACATGATTACGACGTTAAGGATAATAAATTCCATTACCAAGCTGATGGGGAACTAGAAACACACATACACGCTCGAACGACCTTCACCGCTAGAGTCGGAAAATTACATATATTAAAAATACATATATGAAAACAAACACAAAGGTCGCGTTTGTTAGTAAGAGCACATTTAGGTGCACACAGCTCGGTGCACACAGCTCGGTGCACACAGCTCGGTGCACACAGCTCGGTGCACACAGCTCGGTGCACACACGCCCCACTTAGATATATATAAGAGTGAGGTCGATGTTGTCGCAAAATATCCAGTGAAGCAATAAAGAAAGAATGTTTTACTCAGGAAGAGGAGGAGGGGAGGGGGAAGTGGGGAAGGGGGTAGAAATGCTCTGGCTCCTTGACCAACCTCTTATATGATGCACCCCCCTCACTCACCCCTCACTCACCCCCCCCCACACCACCTGTGTAAAACACACAATATAACAACCCCTATGACCTCCACCTTGCTCCCCTCCCCCCCCCTGCCCACATACCTACGTCCTGACAGTGCTAAACGCTCCCCTACGCTACCTATTTCATCCTTTGCCGTAAGTGACCTTGAACATGGAGCAATTTAACGCCAAACATGGAGTAATTTACCCCCCCCCCCATCTACCCCCAACAAAATCAGATGGCTTCCGTCACTCAGCTGTCGATATCAATCATTTTGCTTTCTGGGACAATCATGGAACTCTTCAGCACTTTCATGTGAAATGAGGTAGGTTGTCCTTAACGTTTAGGTCCTCAACCTGGTTAATGCCCAACCACTTCGGGTGGACGGTAGATCAACGGTCTTAAACAGGTCGGGGTTCAATCCCCGAGAGCTCAAATAGGGTAACTGGGGACTCGAAAATGTTTAGAGGAGAAGAAGAGGCAGTGGACGACCTCTGGCCAAACTCCCAGGTGGTCCCCCTTCCCGTCCGTCAACCCCAGCCACCTTCAAGAACAGCCCCCAGTGTTAGCGGTCTTCATCAAAAACTGCCGAGACTTCTGTTCCGGAACTTTTCTCAATCACCGCAGGGAGGCGAACTCTACCGAGCCGCCCAGTTACTGCCCCGCTCCTGTGCCAGGTAAGGCCACTACGGGTTCACCATAGCCCGTGCTACTTGCTCCAATCCTGTGCCAGGTAAGTCCACTTGGACGTACGGTCTACGGTCTGTGGTGAGTCCACTACAGCCTCACCATAGACCGTAGGGGACCATTCAAGCTTGTTTGCCTTTGCGTTACAAGGCCCGACATGAAGGGTAATTCGAAAAAATATGTCCCCTCAAAATTGATTACCGAGTGCTGTCGGGGATTGGGTAAAGGGTCTGATGACTTCCAATCCTTTTTTGAAGAGTCAGTGTGGTCTAGCGGGTTAAATACTGGATATGCTAAGGTGCATGGAGCCCTGGCTGCCTGGGGTTCGAATCCTTCACGGGTGAAGAGTTTTCGGTTGCATAATGGCTTGGGGACCATTCAGCTTGTTAACAGAGAAGACCTTGTGAATTCTCACTCTGTCTCTTCTGTCATAACGCACAGCAACCTGTCTCTTGAACATTCACAGCAGCCTGTAATTTACACAAGAAAATCAGCCTATAATATGCACAGCAACTTGAAATATACACACATGGACAGCGGCCGTCTAAACTGCACATGCACACACTTACCCTTGCAGATCAAGAGCAACCTGGCACATGCACATGGAGTATAACCTGTACACACCACATGCAGGTCAACCTGTACACACCACATGCAGGTCAACCTGTACACACAACATGTAGGTCAACCTGTACACACAACATGTAGGTCATCCTGTACACACCACATGCAGGTCAACCTGTACACACAACATGTAGGTCAACCTGTACACACAACATGTAGGTCATCCTGTACACACCACATGCAGGTCAACCTGTACACACCACATGCAGGTCATCCTGTACACACAACATGCAGGTCAACCTGTACACACCACATGCAGGTCATCCTGTACACACCACATGCAGGTCAACCTGTACACACCACATGCAGGTCATCCTGTACACACAACATGCAGGTCAACCTGTACACACCACATGCAGGTCAACCTTTACACACCACATGCAGGTCATCCTGTACACACCACATGCAGGTCAACCTGTACACACAACATGCAGGTCAACCTGTACACACCACATGCAGGTCAACCTGTACACACAACATGTAGGTCAACCTGTACACACCACATGCAGGTCAACCTGTACACACCACATGCAGGTCAACCTGTACACACCACATGCAGATCAACCTGTACACACCACATGCAGGTCAACCTGTACACACAACATGCAGGTCATCCTGTACACACCACATGCAGGTCAACCTGTACACACCACATGCAGGTCATCCTGTACACACAACATGCAGGTCAACCTGTACACACCACATGCAGGTCAACCTTTACACACCACATGCAGGTCATCCTGTACACACCACATGCAGGTCAACCTGTACACACAACATGCAGGTCAACCTGTACATACCACATGTAGGTCAACCTGTACACACCACATGCAGGTCAACCTTTACACACCACATGCAGGTCATCCTGTACACACCACATGCAGGTCAACCTGTACACACAACATGCAGGTCAACCTGTACACACCACATGCAGGTCAACCTGTACACACAACATGTAGGTCAACCTGTACACACAACATGTAGGTCAACCTTTACACACCACATGCAGGTCATCCTGTACACACCACATGCAGGTCATCCTGTACACACCACATGCAGGTCAACCTGTACACACAACATGCAGGTCAACCTGTACACACCACATGCAGGTCAACCTGTACACACCACATGCAGATCAACCTGTACACACCACATGCAGGTCAACCTGTGCACACCACATGTAGGTCAACCTGTACATACCACATGCAGGTCAACCTGTGCACACCACATGCAGGTCAACCCGTACACACCACATGCAGGTCAACCTGTACACACCACATGTAGGTCAACCTGTACACACCACATGCAGGTCAACCCGTACACACCACATGCAGGTCAACCTGTACATACCACATGTAGGTCAACCTGTACACACAACATGTAGGTCAACCTGTACACACCACATGTAGGTCAACCTGTACATACCACATGTAGGTCAACCTGTACATACCACATGTAGGTCAACCTGTACATACCACATGTAGGTCAACCTACACAAGCATATCAAAGCTTCCTCAACAACACTCACAAGGATGAGGAAAGACGATATTCTTCACCCCACAACCACCAACACAGAAACATTCTGAGTCTGTTGTCGGGGGCTTAGTCCACCTGAATGATGTGATGGAGGTGTTCTTGATATGTATACGTGTTGGTACGTGTATGTATTGTACGTATACAACATATGCCCCTTCACCTCAGTGCTTCAAGCTTTGTCCAGTGTCCGATCAGGTTGGCCTCTTTGCTTCACAACTTTCAAAATACATTAAATTGTGGAAAACTGACAAGACATCAACAATGACATTGTAACAGGGTCGTTTGTGGGGAAGACACGTGTACCTGAGCCTCCCAAGGAAGTACAGGGAAGGAGAGTGAAACGAAGAGAAAGAGAGAGAGAGAGAGAGAGAGAGAGAGAGAGAGAGAGAGAGAGAGAGAGAGAGAGAGAGAGAGAGAGAGAGAGAGAGAGAGAGAGAGAGAAAGAGAGAGAGAGAGAGAAAGAGAGAGATAAACAGACAGAGAGGACATTGTTATGTCTACACTGTGCATTAACTTAGAATAATAAAAGCACATTATCTGATTTCAACATAATCTCATGCTTGCTAAAAGCTATTCAAAATGTGGTTGTTCAGCTGAAACAGCTGCCTTGTATCCCATTCACGACTGTAGATGATCACTACGACAACCATAGCGGACCACGGGACGAGGAACTTGGCATATCTGGTATTGGCCGAGAAACAGGGTGGACCATTTAACGAAGAACATACCAGGTACCTAATGGGTTTGCCCATCAGAGGCAGAGAGGAAGGTTAACGAGGGGAGATATAATGGAGAGAGAGAGAGGGGGAAAACGAGGGTTTGTAAAGAGAATGGAATTAGAACTGGTGACAGAGATGGGAACGAGTATTTCTGTTAACTCTGTTGGTTTGTCTATTTGAAGGCAAATTGTCGTGTTAGATTTAGACAGGCTTTACGAGGCAAAGGGTTGGTTGCATCTGTCAGAAATACAGTGTCATCTGCCAGTGATACAGTGTCATTTGCCAGTGATACAGTGTCATCTGCCAGAAATACAGTGTCATCTGCCAGAAATACAGTGTCATCTGGCAGTGATACAGTGTCATCTGCCAGTGATACAGTGTCATCTGCCAGTGATACAGTGTCATCTGGCAGTGATACAGTGTCATCTGGCAGTGATACAGTGTCATCTGCCAGTGATACAGTGTCATCTGCCAGTGATACAGTGTCACACATCTGGATGTGTACCTCTGTACCTGGCAGCTGACAAGGATGTGTTCCTGAGTTGCCACAAGTTTATATGTTTGATGACATTCATGAGAATGGAATTCGTCTATCAAACGTTAAAAATAGAGTTTGGTAACGATTCTCCGATTTTCAGGTTCTGGCCGTGAAAGGACTATTTCGAGTGACCATTCCCTAAGGCATTCGCTAATTAGCTGTAGTTGAGAAGAGCCAGAAATACTCTTTTATACCTCAAGACATCACAAAGTACATACCAGCCATTCTTTCATTAGTTTCACCCCCATCATTGCACCACCACCAATTTCAAGTCAATCCTCGCACTCAACATTGGTACAGTGGCCAAAGCTTCGTCTCAGGGTAGTAGACCAGGGCTTGCAATCGCGTCCGTGATGTCGTTGGTCATTGCAGATTTGAAGCTTCACTGTTGCACGTGAGGCAAGAACACAAGTGTGTTGCAACAACAAACAAGAATTTAATTGTTTTAGTGTTTAAATAGAGCAAGGTGGAGGATACAATTGCTTTTTGTACGTGAAAATACTTTCTCCTGTTTTGGAATTCTAACTGAAACAAGGGAACAATTTCTCTGAAAATGATTAAATATGTGTAGGAGAGAGAGAAAGAGAGAGAGAGAGAGAGAGAGAGAGAGAGAGAGAGAGAGAGAGAGAGAGAGAGAGAGAGAGAGAGAGAGAGAAGCGAGGGGGAACTATGGGAACTATCAGGGAGAAAGCGCCAAGCCATTATGACTATATAGCACTTGGAAGGAGTCAGGATAAGAATTTGGGATGGGACGGGGAGGAAAGGAATGATGCCCATCCACTTAGACGGTCGGGGATTGAACGCCGATCTGCATGAAGCGAGACCGTCGCTTTACTATCCATCCCAAGTGGTTGGACGAGGATGGGGGGGGGGAAAGCGAGTAGAAGGTAGAAGGTAATTCAGACGAACATTAACAAATAGATCAAAACATATGTAATATTTTATCATAAATAATCAATTATCACTATAAATCCCACCACCAGTTAGTAAAATATCTTTCAGGAGTATCTCTAGCAGGGAGTATCTCTAGCAAGGAGTATCTCTAGCAAGGAGTATCTCTAGCAAGCATTCACTATTATTTCTCACCAGCAGACAACATCTCTAATTAGTATCTCTCATCAGCAAATTGCATCTCTCACCAGGATATCACCCCCATTATCTGTTACCATAATCTCTCTCTCCCAAGCATCTCTCACTATTATCTATCACCATCATCTCCCACCAGCTGCCTCCAGCTAGTTCAATATTGAACTAGCACCCATTGAACTAGCATCCATTGAACTAGCACACACTGAACTAGCACACACTGAACTAGCACACATTGAACTAACACACTGAACTAACACACATTGAACTAGCACACATTGAACTAACACACTGAACTAACACACATTGAACTAGCACACATTGAACTAACACACACTGAACTAACACACATTGAACTAACACACATTGAACTAGCACCCATTGAACTAGCACACATTGAACTAGCACACATTGAACTAGCACACATTGAACTAGCACACATTGAACTAGCACCCATTGAACTAGCACACACTGAACTAGCACACATTGAACTAGCACCCATTGAACTAGCACCCATTGAACTAGCACACACTGAACTAGCACACATTGAACTAGCACACATTGAACTAACACCCATTGAACTAGCACACACTGAACTAGCACCCATTGACCTAGCACACACTGAACTAGCACACACTGAACTAGCACACACTGAACTAGCACACACTGAACTAGCACCCATTGAACTAACACACACTGAACTAGCACACACTGAACTAGCACACACTGAACTAGCACACACTGAACTAGCACACACTGAACTAGCACACACTGAACTAGCACCCATTGAACTAGCACACACTGAACTAGCACACACTGAACTAGCACACACTGAACTAGCACACATTGAACTAGCACACACTGAACTAGCACACATTGAACTAGCACACACTGAACTAGCACACATTGAACTAGCACACACTGAACTAGCACACATTGAACTAGCACACACTGAACTAGCACACATTGAACTAGCACACACTGAACTAGCACACATTGAACTAGCACACACTGAACTAGCACACACTGAACTAGCACACACTGAACTAGCATCCATTGAACTAACACACATTGAACTAGCACACACTGAACTAGCACACACTGAACTAGCACACACTGAACTAGCACACACTGAACTAGCACCCATTGAACTAGCACACATTGAACTAGCACACACTGAACTAGCACACACTGAACTAGCACACACTGAACTAGCACACACTGAACTAGCACACACTGAACTAGCACACACTGAACTAGCACCCATTGAACTAGCACCCATTGAACATTGAACACATTGCACCTCAGAGGCCACGTGGGCGTCTCTCCTGCTATCATTAAGGTTGCACGGGGGAAAAATGTATTGATTACATTAAGCTAATCCGCCTGTGATTACAATGATCCCATGAGGAACGAAACTTAATGATTAGTTTACGTGATGTGCAGCAGTTAGAGCTCTGAGTTCAATTGATGCAGTTGTCACTGTCTTTTGTTTTATTTTCTTTTACTTTAGCTGCGTGTGTTTGGATGCGCATTTGTTTTTGTGAGTTCGTCTGATGAGTATATTGAGTATTATGGGATGTTTATGGAAAGATTATCACCTCAAGATCGTGTATTCTACATATGACTGACCGAGTATTCTACACATGACTGTGTATAACCTTACGACCGTGAATGCCACATATGACGGACTTTATATAGCACATATGATTGACGTTGTATCCCACATACGTCAGAGGAATTTTGGAATAGGCAGCGCTAGTGTAGAGTATTTATATCGTTAAAAACCAAACAGAGCTGGATAAATCCTCTTTAATAGATTAGTCCCAGAGCTCTGAGCAATAATTTGTGTGGAAAAGTAAAGGAATTAAACATAACGTCACCGGGAAAAAAACAAGGAAATATGACCACGACATGGAAAATACTCAGAGGAAGAGACTGTAAACAAAAACACTCCTGTTTGGTATGAATGGGCAAGGAGCAGGGAGTCACTAGTGTAAATTGAATACCAAAGTGCAATGCGGTTTAGAGTTAAATGGTGAGAGTTGACAGTCCACATAGCTTCATATTTGGATATGACAGGGACACTTTCAGGCCCTTCACACCCCCTCCCCAAAAATTCTCTGGGATCTGGGACAAGCTTGGCTCCATACCCTGCCTCTTCCTCCACACCCTGTCCCTTCCTCCACTCAGACGTTTAATCAAAGCCGCCCCTAAAGAAAACTGCATTTTCTTTAAACTTACTTTTACAGAAAACTAGATTATTTGGTAGACCAAAAAAAACCCTGTCTATGCTATAACAAGCCTCCAATATACAATCCATCTAAAAAAAAATTGTCAGGAATAATGAGATGGCCATTGACAAGCTGCAAGCATCCTGTCCCCGTCGACGTCTCCAGAGATTGTGGCCCCTCAGGTAAATTCAGGTTAAGTAACTTTAACTTTTGTATGTAAAACTCCCATTTAGTGTCAATAATGATAATTATAACACAAAGACATAAGTAATAATACTTGATTTTACCCCAAAAAACCACAGGTTCGTATTTGATACTAGTGAATATACGAGACTGACAGACTACCCATCCTGTGGGTGGTAGTGGGTCCCTTATACCCATCCTGTGGGTGGTAGTGGGTCACCTCATACCCATCCTGTGGGTGGTAGTGGGTCCCTTATACCCATCCTGTGGGTGGTAGTGGGTCACTCATACCCATCCTGTGGGTGGTAGTGGGTCACCTCATACCCATCCTGTGGGTGGTAGTGGGTCCCTTATACTCATCCTGTGGGTGGTAGTGGGTCACCTCATACCCATCCTGTGGGTGGTAGTGGGTCACTCATACCCATCCAGTGGGTGGTAGTGGGTCACTCATACCCATCCTGTAGGAGGTAAACGACCCCATACCCATCCTATGGGTATCCTTCTATTGCAATACATTTCCCATTACTCTACAATAAGCTCTGATAACTTAGAGATCTTTGTTGAACATCATTTTGTTCCTAAAGCCAAAGATGTACGTACAAATTTTGATAAAACTAGACAACAGTATTGGAGCAAAAGACAAATGGATGATCAAAGAGACCTTCCTGTGACCAGGGAGGAGTACGTGTACCAGAAACCTCTAATCTATATTAGGGGGTTGCTGGGTTAAGGGTGAATAGTTACTTGTACCAGAGCCCCCATAGTGAGCATTTAGTGAGTTGTAGGGAAAGGGTATAAAATCCTTTATCATTAGAAGGATAATTACATGGGTTAGAGACTGGGAAGGTCATTGATTTCTTGAATCTTTTGATACTACTCAAAGAGGACACAGGTAGACTACATTAGCCTGCGTCTGATTACTAAAAGGTATACCTGGTTGATACCTGGTTGATGGGGTTCTGGGAGTTCTTCTACTCCCCAAGCCCGGCCCGAGGCCAGGCTCGACTTGTGAGAGTTTGGTCCACCAGGCTGTTGCTTGGAGCGGCCAGCAGGCCCACATACCCACCACAGCCCGGTTGGTTCGGCACTCCTTGGAGGAATAAATCTAGTTTCCTCTTGAAAATCACAGGTTTCCTTAATCGTCTACTGACTTTTGGGCGACATAGAGCTGCTGGGAGCTCTATTGATCGCCAAAGAGCACTTGAGACTTTTATTGAGCATCCACGTTGCCAGCGAGCTCACGAAACATCTATTGACAGTATTGCTAGAGGATCGTCTGGACCTTTTGGGCACCTGCATCTGTGCCTCGGAGCTCAAAAGTCATCTAGTGATCGTTAGTCGTGGCACAGAATTCCTGAACTAACTCGTGCTCTATAATTATTTCAGATTACCTCACAAGTTCCACGTGTTGCGTGCGGGCGTGTTCCTTTGTGTTGCGTGCGGGCGTGTTCCTTTGTGTTGCTGTGGAAGTGTTTTTAAATGTGAGGAAACCCATTTTTGTATTTATTAGTGATGAGCTTCTGCTCATGTAATCATTTAAAATTTAATATAAAGTATTGTATTGCTTAGATGAACTTAACCAAATTGTATAAAAGACTTAACTTTTATGATAATAGTTTTTATTATAAAAAGACATATACATAACTGGTATATAACAATTTGAATTTTATATTTAAGTTATCTTTAACAATCATTAACATCACAGGACACATGTTTTTAGAAGATATTGCAAGATTTGATTACACTAAAGATTGTAGTGGCATTTGAGCTCGTTTGGGGGGTTCTTAAAGAAGGTAATTTTGCTGTTCTTCAGACGGTTCGTGTTCTTGAAGAAGTTATAATGTTGATGTTCTTAAGAAAGCTACCATTTATGCGTGCACTATTGGGTCTTTATAACTATTGTAAACCAAAACTTGGCTAAAAATTAGTTTACTGTAAACTAGTACTGTAACTGTTGCTATTATTATCATCTTTAATACTACAGTTTAATATTTACTGTTTAGTTTATAATTATTCTAATAATAATTATAATATTATGACTTATTTATATAATACTAGAGGGCATCCGGCCTTGCCTCAGTCTATCTGTCTCGCTCTCTTTTTCTCTCTCTGTATCTCCCTCTCTATCTTTATCTCTCTCTATCTCTCCTCCTGTATCAATATATCTCTTTATGTCTTTCTAGAGTATTCATGCTAATTTACAGAACAATTTTCACCATTAATCTTCTTCTCAACTCACTATTTTCCTCATTGTAACTAGAGTGAATTCAGTTCATCACGGGCGTGTACGAGATAAAGCCTACGGACATGGCATTCCCGATTTCATTTCAGACCATCAAAATCGCATGTGGGGCTAGGGTTGAATCCTAATATTTCTTAAAGCATTTTAAGTTAGGAATACCGCGACAAACCTATGACCGTTCCATACCCCCAGACCATTTCCTCGCCTGCAAAGTTTTGGTTAGGATAGCCCCCATTTATTACTCTCACTATTATCACTATCGTAATTAAACAAATGTTTAAAGGCATAATTCACGCATAATTGTTACCTGGCAGTAAATAGGTACCTGGGAGTTAATCAGCTGTCACGGGCTGCTTCCTGGAAGTGGAGGCCTGGTCGAGGACCGGGCCGCGGGGACACTAAGCCCCGAAATCATCTCAAGAAGATCTCAAGATAACGGTGATCTGATTGCTTGGAAAAGCTTGGGAGATGTTGTTGAAGACGACACGAGGAAGTCACAAGAGAATGCAAGATTGGAGAATAATCTTGCTAGTAGTGAGAGTGATGCTGTGACTGTCGGTCGTCAAGGTGACCAAAGCTGCAGAAAATCTCCGCAGGAACGTACTGAAAGGTCGTGCAAGACGTTGGCTATAATTATGTGGGTGTAATCAACTGCTTGTTCTGCTTTGATTATATCTGTATATATTGACACTAAAAGTGATCAGACTGGATTAAGCACTTGAGTTGTATGAAGGAAACGTATTGTAGCAAGCACTTGAGTGAAGGAAGTTGATCGTACTGTAGCAAGCACTTGAGTGAAGGAAGTCGACCGTACTCCAGCAAGCACTTGAGTGAAGGAAGCCGACCGTACTCCAGCAAGTACTTGAGTGAAGGAAGCGGACCGTACTCCAGCAAGCACTTGAGTGAAGGAAGCCGACCGTACTGTAGCAAGCACTTGAGTGAAGAAAGCCAACCGTACTGTAGCAAGCACTTGAGTGAAGGAAGCCGACCGTACTGCAGCAAGCACTTGAGAGCTCCTTGAGGGAAGGCCGTAGCAATCATCCTCCTCCCCTCCCTTATCGTTGACAACATCTAACTTTACAACTTACAATTAACGCTTCAAGTAAGAGGTTAATGAAGGACCTACTCTGCTGCCCTACATCTGAACACCTTCATCACACACTTACGTGAGAGCTAACACGCTCTCAAGGATGTCAATATACTCACACTGAAGTCAATACACACAAGAACCACAACACTCTCGTAGAAGCAATAAACTCACACGAGTCCCCATACACGAGTCCCCATACACGAGTCCCCATACACGAGTCCCCATACACGAGTCCCCATACACAGGAAGACTGGTTTTGGTCGCCAACGTGTGGCCGAAAAACAAGTTTCATAAGTATTCGTATTTAGGTTGAAACGAGCGTTAAGACTTTGTGTGTTCTTACGAAGTGTCTGTTTAGGTGTCGCTTGTGGATCTTCTTGTCTGGTTGGTAGTTCTCGAGGGAAGGAACTTTGTTGCAGAGACGTAAATTATTTATATATGTGTGTGTCTGTGCTTTATAAAGTACTGGCAGAGTAGCCTGACTTCTACATCGTTGGAGGATACAAACAAATTATTTCTCAAACCTGGAATTTGCGTTTCGTCTGGGACCCTCTAATTTATACATGTTTCAAGTTCGCTCTATCGAGGAGACTTGGAACACATATACACTAGAGTATCCTAGGAACATATACATACAAGAGTAGCCTTATATCAAGTCTGCGAGACTGTCACCAGCCTCCCAGACTTGCTCCCTGGTGGTAAAGTCACGATGTATTCTACTGTTAAAATTTATTCCTTAAGTCTTTTCCTGCAACGCATGAAATAAAAAAAATAAGATATGTGAAAGATACTTCGCATTCCTAACATTAACACTCCCATTCGTGCAGATAAACTTAAAATATTGCACATTTATAAAAAGCAACAAAGCGAGTCCCTTTTGTTCAGCTGGTGATTGGTGCAAGATTTCTTATCGCTCGCTAATTAATGTGTGTCGCTTTGCATGTGTAATGATGCAGAGATCACTGGCGCCTGCGAGCTACTTAATTGCAAGTTGCAATTTTTTTTCCTTTGCGATGTGCGACTGATGCAGTAGAGCGATTTTGTTTTTTGTCCTAATATCGTTGTTCAGCTAACGTTAGCAAGCATGTTGGACGCTTGCTTCAGTTGCGTCCTTTGCGTCAGGTCTTTCATTAAACTATGTCTTACCTGTAACCAAATGGCCACTGTCTGTCTGAATTTTCTTGACAAGCATGCAAATATTTTGAACCCCGACGACACTCACACAAACCATTACCCGACGCAGCACCAACTGCCCTCTGGTGCGCTGATTATAAACTACAATGATAAACGTTGCCAGTTCGAGGTATTAACCAACGCATGTCCTAGCAGACGCCTCGGGGTGTCAGATCCGTTTAGATTTTAACAGAAGCCATCACGGTTTCCGCCAGTACCTAACGCCATGTTGGTTGTACACCGGTGCTTTCTCCTGCCCCTTGTGGCTGCCCTGCACCTAGAAATACGGGGAGAAAATGCTCTAAAAGGAGACCAAGGTGCTCCAGGCTTTCCCGAAGAGGACCCGAGAGAGATAGCACGGGGATTGTTGTCTCAAGAGGAGAAGGAGACGTCTGTGGAAGGAGGGGGTGAGGACCAGAAGCGGCTTCACCTCCAGCAGGTCACAGCAGATGGAGAACTCGGTGGTCGTCTTCGCAGGTGGGTCCAGCTCCGTGCTGTGGGGCTTTGTGTTTTCTTAAAATTAATGATCCTTGGAGGTAGAGCTATGAAGGCGAGGTCTAGTGGTGTCTTAATGTGGTTTAGCGTTCCTAGTGTCTAAGGTGAAGATAGATTGTAGGATTTAGTTCGGTAGAAATTTTTAATGGAGTAATATTATTACTCTTTCATTAGGCGCCCACAGTCTGGTCGGCCTCAGTACGCGGCACCACCGCCCACACCCCCACCCCCTGACCTTCCCACAGTACGGCTCGACCTCCCCCCCCCCTGACCTTCCCACAGTACGGCTCGACCTCCCCACCCCCCCACAGTCTTCCCACAGTACGGCTCGACCCCCCCCACCCCGCGGTCTCCCCACAGTATGGCTCAACCTCCCCCCCACGGTCTTCCCGCAGTACGGCTCGACCCCTCCCCGCCCCCCACGGTCTTCCCACAGTACGGCTCGACCTCCCCCTCCCCCCACGGTCTTCCCGCAGTACGGTTCGACCCCCTCCCCGCCCCCCACGGTCTTCCCACAGTACGGCTCGACCCCCCCCCCGCAGTCTTCCCACAGTACGGCTCGACCCCCCCCCCGCGGTCTTCCCACAGTACGGCTCGACCCCCCCCCCCCGCGGTCTCCCCACAGTACGGCTCGACCTCCCCCCCCACACGGTCTTCCCACAGTACGGCTCGACCACCCCCCCGCGGTCTTCCCCACAGTACGGCTCGACCCCCCCCCCCGCGGTCTTCCCCACAGTACGGCTCGACCCCCCCCCCCCGCGGTCTTCCCACAGTACGGCTCGACCCCCCCCCCGCGGTCTTCCCACAGTACGGCTCGACCCCCCCGCGGTCTTCCCCACAGTACGGCTCGACCCCCCCCCCCCCCGCGGTCTTCCCCACAGTACGGCTCGACCCCCTCCCCCCCGCGGTCTTCACCACAGTACGTCTCGACCCCCCCCCGCGGTCTTCCCACAGTACGGCTCGACCTCCCCCCCCCCCACGGTCTTTCCCACAGTACGGCTCGACCTCTCCCCCCACGGTCTTCCCACAGTACGGCTCGACCTACCCCCCCCGGTCTTCCCACAGTACGGCTCGACCTCCTCCCCCCTCCACCCCCCACGGTCTTTCCCACAGTACGGCTCGACCTCCCCCCCACGGTCTCCCCACAATATGACTCGACCTCCCTCCCCCCCCCCACAGTACGGCTTAACCTTGACCAGATTGCGGTCCCAATTTTAATTTTAGGGAACGCATCTTGCCTCCAATTTGAAGACTGCTCCTTATCACCTTGCCTTGTATAACTAGAGAACCTGCCTTCCCTTCCTCGCCCATCAGGACACGTCTCCTCGTACCCCAAGTTGCTCATGTGTACACATAAGGGGGTCTTGCAGGTACGTAGGGGATGGCTACGTTGGAGGATGGAAGGCCAGTGACAGCCAGAGTGACCCTGGACCTATAATAGTGACGTTGATTCACTGTGAACAGCTCATGATTCTCAGAGAAACCACGATGCAGGGTGTCCCCATCGGCTGCACCTTCAGTAAGCGACTACCGTGAGTTGAGTTGACACTTTTATTGCTTTATTCATCCCCCTATTTTAAGTTTCATCCAGCATAGGCATGTGGCCCATGGATGTTCAACGTATGGGGTCAAGACAGTCTGAAAATATTGTTGCGATGCAGGCGATGAGTCACAACGTGGCTGAAGTATGTTGACCAGGCCACACACTAGAAAGTGAAGGGATTACGACGTTTAGGTCCGTCCTGGACCATTCTCAAGTCGAATCGACTTAAGAATGGTCCAGGACGGACCGAGACGACGACGTCCCTTCACTTTCTAGTGTGTGGTCTGGTCAGTATTTGTGCAATGTTGAACCCCCATTTTTTATCGGCTATCGTCTGTATAACAATATCCCTCTTGAAAAATATATTGGTCATTATACATATTTACATGTAAATAAGCAACTCGCCTTATTGCTCACAATAGTGTTGAGATCTAAGATTAAAATCATATCGCCAGACTGAATTATTCTTCCTTCCGAAGCATGAATGGTAACTTTCACTCGGGACCAGACAGTCAGAATTGCCATGTTCTTTCCCTTGTCAAGCCCTTTTAACGCTTGACATAAAAACAATTTATTCTTGTACCCTTACCGCCACTAACCCTCTGTATATAAACATATAACTGCATCTATACACGCATCTATCCGGCTCAAATACAGGACTCCGGAGCTTCAAGAGGAGCAGATGGCGAAGTGGGAACATCTGGCTAGTCTGGTGCAGGTGATCGACTCCATCTCAGAGTTTCTGGACGTCATAGAGACCTGCTTCGCCACAGAGAACGCCACCCACAGGGTTGACTGGTCAATCATGACACTGGTCCAGGGAATAGCGCCCGGTCAGTAGATGTTCATGTTGCGTGTTGTCATGCAAATGTTCATGCATAAAATTGTGATAATAAGTTTTATACTGCGAGACTCCCTTCTTTAATTGGTTAATTTTCATTTTTTCTTGATTACTTTTAATTACCAATTTCTTGAGCTGGAGTTAAATGTTATGAGGCAGTAAGAGAGGCTTCCATAAGTTATATATCAACTGTTTTAGAATTGCCGGGTTGCATTCCGGTAGTGTTCCGGCTTGGCTGGAGGAACAATAATGGGTGGGGGTGATGGGGGTGATTGAGATTAGTTGCCATTGGCCCTGGGGAAGGTGATGGGGCCCTGAACCTACCTGTAGACTGATTCAACCTTCCACCAATTGTGATGAAATTGGGAGCGCGTGTCAAGTCTACTCGCTAACATTTTTTTGTCGCAAACAATTCTAGGGTGTAGCACGTGCTGGTGTCCCCGGCTGTCCCGTGTGTTGAAAGTGTGTACAAATACACCATACAGTTGTGGCTTGAACATGTAATTGTGACATACTTTACATTTGTATTCTATAATTTGTACTAGATTGTACGTGCGTAAGTTTTCAATAAGGCCAAATGAGAATGAGCAAGCGATAGACAACCTTTATTATTATACTCATTATTGGTATCCATCACAGGTACGTTATGGTGTGGTCAGAACCAGATAGCTCAGGACCTCACTGAGCTGGGCGTCCTGCGGAGCCTTGATGCCTGCTGTCGCCTGCATGACCTCTGTCCCATCCAGGTCAATCCCCTGAGCTCGTACAGAGGAGTCAGCAACACGTCTCCGAAATTCTTGTAAGCTGTTTGTTGTTGTTGTTCCAACTATTGTATACAATGTCATCAATGCTGTAAAAGACATCCTGACTTAGTTTTTTTATAAAAAGTTGAACTTCACGAGTGCCTGTATTGTAGTTACTGAATTTCACTTGTGTGTAAAGAATCCTGTAAGAAAATCAAAGCTGCCTGTACGAATTGAGACGGTAGATGTAAATATGCTTAAAGTAGAAGGTGAAGGGACGACTACGTTTCGGTCCGTCCTGGATCATTTTCAAGTCGAGAATCGTCGTCGTCCCTTCACCTTCTAGTGTGTGGTCTAGTCAACTTACTTTAGCCACGTTGACTCATCGCCTGCATGCTTAAAGTACCTTAAGTATTCGTGTCAATCGTTTTCGCAGCTTTGGTCTCGTCTTTGCTAATACTAATGTGGTAATTGATCTTTCCAGAACCCACTGCGAGTGTGACGTCCGTTTTGCAGAGTGTCTGGGAAAGGTGGACAGCTTCGCAGCTCGCATAATCTTCCACGCTTACTTCAACGTCTTCTTCCGAGGGGGGCTGTGTGCCAGTCAGAGAGAGTTCCTTCCGGTCGACACACTCTCCAAGAGTTTCCTGAACGTGTGGTCCAATGTTAGTGATGTAGTGCTGTCCCTCGCCAACCCCTCCGCTAACCAGACCAGGAGCTCTAGTTATCTACGGACTCTACAGAGTAAACTGAAGCATAATGCGTCTTTCAGTAACATTATTTCAACAGTATTTGAGGACAGTGTTACACAGGCCACCGATGGAATTTATAAGGCACACAAGATGGAGGAACAGAGCGACGCCAAGATCTTGGGAACTAAGAATCATGAGCTGATGTGCAAGTTATATCTGGGACGCAGAAGGTCGCGAAGAGAAGGTGAAGGCGATCAAAATGACAGTCTGCCGCTGGATTTCTCAGACTCCATCACTCGGTTACCAACCACTACAGGGCTGACTGGCAATCTTTCCACCGTTACAGTAGCTGGTTCTCCCCTTCCCTCTTCAGTAGTTACTGACCATCTTACCACCACCACTACAGAAGCTGGTTTACTTACAGCAGAAAAAATTGGTGCCCGGCCACATTATGTTGGAAATCAGAGTTATCTGATAAATGAACAGTTGACTTCGGTTACTGAATGGTCTGTAACGGAGACAAGAGACATAATTCAAGACAAAACATTAAGTATATTGACGAGCGAGAGGGAGGCTTCTAATACAGTCGCCTCTATTTTGATATTGGATTTTGATTCGACTTCAAATAGCACTTCGACCCTCTCAGTTGAGACGCTCAGTGCGGGAGGACGTTCAGATTCTGCCAATTATTCAGTTTGGGCTCCACCCACGGCTCCTGCTCCACCCACGGCTCCTGCTCCACCCACGGCCTCGGCTCCACCCCCGGCTCCTGCTCCGGCCACGGTCCCACCCACGGCCCCGGCTCCGGCTCCACCCACGGCCACGGCTCCTGCTCCGGCCACGGCTCCTGCTCCACCCACGTCTCCTGCTCCACCCACGTCTCCTGCTCCACCCACGGCCCCGGCTCCACCCACGGTTCCGGCTCCATCCACGGCTCCACCCACGGCCCCGGTTCCACCCACGGCTCCGGCTCCACCCTCAGCATCGGGTCCAAATATGACTCTGCTCTCGTATACCCCAAATGTAACGGAGAGCAGTCTCTCCTCAACACTCTCACCAAACTCTACAGTGACGACAGAGGAGGATGAAGAGATGCTGCTGGCTTGCCACAAATACGAAGAAATTATTCTCCACGAAGAGACGGAGGCCTTCATCCGCAGGGAATTGATTGGGAAGGACATTAGCGAAGAGCAGTTTGGAAAGCTTTTGTCCGAATACAATCGCAGACTCGGAGAAACCTTGAAGCGTCTTCCCAATGTGGCCAAGGAGGAGGCAGAGCGTATTTATGATAGTATATATTATAAGAACACTGATGTGTTGGATAAAATAGCACCAAACTTGTTCGGATACAAGATTGGGCAACCGGACCATCCGGTACCGGTAGATGGTGACCCGGTACTCTCAGGTGGGGAGGCGTCGGAAAGTGATGAATCTATGGAAGGTGATTTATGGGAAGGAAACTACGTCATTGTCAAGTTTCGGGACTACATCCGGGTCGTGCTGGAGACGTTGAAACACACCGACTCTGAAAAATAACATTTGTCCATATATTTCTCGTTAAATATCAAGCTGTGTATTACCATGCATAAACCATTTGGGGAGAGACGGAACCGGTCTACTATACAGCTTAAAAATTAATAACTTTTGAATTTATATTGATATAAGTTTCTTTTTACTTTGAAAATTATTGAATGTATTATTTGCAGTCTGAAGAATGTACGACGGAATAAATGTAATTTTATGCAATTATTATTTTACCGTGACAATCCTTTGATGAACTCGGATCCCTTGCTTTCTTCCATTTAACTGATCCTGTTCCTTTAAATGGACAAAAACCAATTGCTACAGGCATCTTTATTTTCATCTCCCGGCTCTGATCTCTTCAGGATCCCCCCCCCCACTGTTCCACACACAGAACCACATTAAATTAACCAATCTCTCCCAATCCTTTGGTTACATAAATCCATAATTTTCAACATGTTAAATTCAGTAAACGCAAATAATTAGTTTCTTGGATACATAAACCTTGATATTCCAATGATTGCCAAAATCGGCTATTTAGAAGTGCTTCCTGCACTCGCGCACAACTTCCATAGATTTGTTACCCAATAATCCAACTGGCGTATATGGGAAAAGAACGGTTGGGTTACTTTCAGCCTTGCTGTCATTATCTACATATTACCCGGTAACGTAGTCGACTCGGCAGGGCCCTTTCTGAAGGGGGTGAGTTCTTGTATGACATACTTGGTTCTTGAGTTCGTGAGTTCTTGAATGACATCCTTGGTTCTTGAGTTCTTGAATGACATCCTTGGAATGACATTAGCGCCCTCTGATTATCCCGAACATTTGATGGTGCTTCGTAACCTTCCCGGTTTGGTGCCTTCTTTTTTGATAATTACTTATGTGAATGACACCCTTCACATAACTCTACTCTCCTCCTCCATGCCCTAGCTAAAGTCTCTAGATCAAAGTATATACATTGGGTGTAGGGGAATCGCTGGATATACAAAACTCAAGTACGATTATGTAAAGCAAGCTTGGATAACATGAGGCATGAATTGATTATAAAATTGAGAAGATATGACTGACAACCACTATACTGTGATTTCTGGGCAAGCAAGCGACCATACAGGCGAATCAAGAGTGTATCTCCTCCCTCGGGCATGGAGGTAGTGGATACAGGACAGTCAATCGTGCCAGTTGCATTAAATAGGGAATAGTCAACCCGTCTTCGACTCAAGTCCATTACATCCAGCGGTCAACCCCACAGACGCATTCATAAATTTTAACATACTGTTCACTCAAAACGGGAATTTTTTCAAGTATTAATTAATATTATAATAGCATATTGTGTATATATAGGCATAGGATAGGTTAAGTTAGGTGTTTAGTTTCTCTTGGCGGTTATTTGTATTTGTAGTACGTGGGTGAAGCATTTATAGCGTTGTGATTCGAACAAAATTCGTCAGTGAAGCACTTGTTCCGGATATGTTCGAACGTCAGCAGTTGAGTCGTGTGTAAATCGCTTTTCATTCATAAACAGGGGGTTTGGCGGGTGCATGGAATCACTTTTGGATCTTTGTTTGGAGGACGGGCTGACAAATCCACAAGGGCCGTGATGAGGCTTCGAACCTGCGTCGAGAGCATCCCAGACGCTGCCTTAATCGACTGAGATACGACATGGTCGTAGCCATGTTCATTTGATGCATCAGGCAATTATGATTTCTGTGTGTGTGTAGAGTTCTGATTGGTTCAAATAGGTGCAGTAGCAAGATGAAGAATAAATGGAATATTAGCCAGGAGCAGATGTGAAGATTATTCGAATCAGTGACATTATTTGTGAAGATTTCTCCAATGGACAAGACATATTTGTCTACAACTAAACCTGTTTAATTCCACTTGAGTCAACAAACATTACTAGTAAAGTTGCTGATCTACTAATCAAGGATAAACTTTCTGCCAAAGTTGCATGAAGTTGAAAGGAATAAACAGACGCCGGATTCATCAAACATTTACGCAAGTACTTACGAACTTGTACATCTTTTTCTCCCTCTTTAGCAGCTTAGTTTATATTTATTAAACAGTTTGAGTAACGAAACGTGGCAATAAATGTTTTGTTAAAAACAGCCTCCTAGTGCTTCGGCGCACACAAACTGTTTAATGTGTAAACAAAGGAGCCGAAAATTGAGAAAATATGTAAGGGTTCTTAAATAGATGTATAAACAACCCGTCTTCGACTCAAGTCCAATACATGCAGCGGTCGACCCCACAGACGCATTCATAAATTTTTACATGCTGTTCATTCAAAACGATTTTTCTCAAATATTAATTAATATTATAATAGATTAGCATATTGTGCATATACAGGCATAGTTTAGGTTAGGTGTTTAGGTTCTGTTGGCGATTATTTGTATTTGTAATACGTGGGTGAATCATTTACAGCGTTGTGGTTCGAACAAAATTCGTCAGTGAACCACTTGTTCCGGAAGTGTTCGAAAGAAATCAGTTGAGTCGTGTGTAAACCGTTTATCATTCATAAACAGGGGGTTTGGTTGGTGCATGGAATCACTTTTGGGTCTTTGTTTGTAGGGCTGGCTGCGACTCACAACTGATGACATTCGAACACTTCTAGAACAAGTGTTTCACTGCTGGATTTTGTTCGAACCACAACGTCGTAAATGCTTCACCCGCGTACTTCAAATACAAATAATCTCCAACAGAACCTAAACGACTAACCTACCCAATGCCTATATATGCAACAATATGCTTATATACCATAACATTAATTTATATTTGAGAAAATTCCTGTTTTAAATGAGCCGCATATTTAAATTTATGAATGCGTCTTTGGGGTCGTCCACTGGAAGGAATGGACTTGGTCTGAGGACAGGTAAGGGGAAGGTCACCTAGTCTGGTAGTGGGACAGGTGTTGAGGGATACGTGGCTGCGTGCAGAAGCTACGCTATTACACGTCCATCTATTGATGCTATCTTCCGCCAATCAGCGCACGTGTGTCATCAAAGTCATGAGTGGCAAACCTCCCCATTGCAGAGAATAACAGGTATGAATGATGCTACTAAACGAGTAAGTACTGGTCGTCTCTTGATGAGTTTCTCGTCTCGTTTGTGGCTGGGATTGAATTGTCGAGTGAGAACTCTTGGAGTTTTCGACGTCTCTCATTTGTTCTCGGGACTGATGGTGCGTCAGCCTTCTGCATTGAGTTTCAGGCAATTAGGAAGACCTCCATATAAGACTTTTCTCTGGTGAGGAGTGACGTGAGAGATCAATTGATAAAACTTTTTTTTTACTCCTACGTGCATGTCCAATCTCGAGAATACCTAGATTAAAACGCCTGTGTTCCCCTATATTGTAGCAATAGAGGAAAACATTGCGAAGTACCAAAAGCCAAATTGTCCCTTGGGTGTCATTCAGAAAGACTAATTCCAAGAGGAATCTAATTAGCACTTTATGGTCACTTGAGTAAAAGTATCCATGTAATATAAATAATTACGTGTGGCTATTATTCGATTGTTGCTGACACTACAAGCCTTTTTGAACCCCTGTCTGATTGTATAATTATCAACAAATTGCCGAACAGTCTAGCCCAATCGTAAAGTAAATTTTAATGCCGATCCCACTTCTGTGTTGAGCCCTTCCTAAAGGTTAACGTAGTGTAGCATTCTTAAGAATTCCGCAATCGGAAGGCACAGTATATTTGATGGTCAACTTACCTCGGGATGATTCGACTGAACTAACAGGTAGTCGAACCGTGACCTTTGATTGTTCTAATTGTTCGTGGCTCGCTCCTGTACCTCGATAGCTACTGTGGTAGACGTACAGTGTGTACAGGTCCACAGAGATCCGTTATCTTTACGATTGTCATGATATCACTCGCAGAGCCGGGACCTATTAAAAGATTATCTGATGCACTCAAGGCTCTAGATCCAATGGGAATAATATTCAAGAGCTAATTGAGTATTGTTAATCTACATCAACATCAACCTTAATTCTACGTTTAATCGACGTTAACGGCGGTGGTTGGCCACCATTCCTTTCCCCCGTCTCATCCCCAAAACCTTATCCTGACTCCCTTTCAAGTGTTATAGAGTCATCATGGCTTGGCGCTTTCTCCCTGATAGTTCCCTTTACTGAGGGAGGCAACTACCTTACCCACAATATTAAAATGGTCAGACGATCCTTGAAAGCCAGACCGGTCAGCCCAGACTAGAGAGAAGAGAGGTGAACCGTACCGAAGTTTTGCTAATTACCTTCCTGATCATCTAAGATATTCATGTGTCTTTCCCCTTCTATAGATTTGTTACGTGGGTAATGAGTACTCCAGCTGGAGTGTTCAGAATACTCACGCTGAGTCTGTGATACAAAATATAACATTTTCTTTCTAAATATAGCCAGGTTCTATTCTATCTTCCATCTTCTATGAGAACCAATTTAACTAAAGGCACGATAATTATTATTATGAGAGCAACAATTTAACACCTTTAATACAATAAACAATTGTTATATATAGATGGCAGTAGACCAGTAAACAAAGATAAATTTTAGTGAGACTTCACTAAAATTTTTCTTCACCAAAATCCTGCTCCAAAATTTCAAGGATCTCAGGGTAGTGAGGGAGTGAGGGACGTCTCTTAATACACGTGGTGGGGGTAGGGGGTGAGGAGTCCACGAGGGGAGAGTTGAATAAGGGGAAGGGAGGGGACGACGGGGGTTCTGGGAGGGGGGGTGAAAGGGGGGGTTCTGGGAGGGGGTGAAGGTGGGAGGGGGACGGTAATACTGGTGAGTGTGGAGCAAGAAGTAAGCGGAATGCCAGTTGAAGAGCGGGCGGCGACCCGGGTCAATCAGGACGGTGGGTGGCCGACGGTGGCTTCCACACCCACCCACATCAGAGGGTGGGCGTGACTTCTACACCCACCCACATCAGAGGGTGGGCGTGACTTCTACACCCACCCACATCAGGGCGGTGGGCGTGGTTCTTGCTGCACCGCCCACGCAGCCTGCACTCTTCCACTCAACATATTACACATATGGAAAACATATTGGTGAACAGAACACACACACACAAATGATTATATATATACTATATCATAGTGTTACAGTGCCATAATGTTACGATGCCATAGTTATAGTGTCACAGAATCACTCGGGCCGCTGTGCCACAGCGATGAAAGGCCAAATTCGGGTGTTTCACGTACCGAAGCCGTCCATATCAGGTGGTCTCGGGTCAT